AAAGAAAACAGTTATGGGGAGAGAGAAAGAGGAGGGAGAAGGGGAAGGGAGCGAGGGAGGGAGCGATGCGGGGGACAGAGAGGAGAAAGCTTTGCATGCGCGGCGCCGTAAAAAAAGAGAGAAAAAGGCACCGAAACAGTTACATCTTGCTTCTATCCTAATTGAAAATTGAAATCACCATATCCGCGCGCAAAAAAGCGACGCGGGAAAAAAAAATCGTACGCCTATTCGTATTCGCACAAAATTCCGAGAGTTTTCCCCGACGCGACCAAAAACATTCACACACACGAAAAGGACACGTCGAAGTTTCGCTTATCCCGGAATTCCCAAATCCCGAGCCCAATTCCCAGTGCGCTCGCTAAGGCACACGTAATTTCCTATGAATTTTCCGACTTGCAAAAAAAAAGGAAAAGCAGAACCCGAAAATCGAAAAAGCTTCCAGAAGATGAGGGCCAAAAAGAAATGCGGCATCCGAAGAGAAAAAAACGAAACGGGGTTTTTCTGGGGTTGGTATGATACGAGCAAAAGAAGGGGTACGGAAGATAGCACCGATTAGCATGGGTTCGGAAAGTAGTTCGTCACATATGTGACGTGCAGGGGGTTCCAAAATTATGCGATCTCCTGGTTGCATGTCATGGCGGAACAGAGTGATGCATGAGGAACCAAGCGTATCAACAAACGATCCAGCCAGAGTCCATGTTGACGCCAACTTCAATTGCAATTGTCTGTGGTTGGAATCCTCGATGGTTGTTCAGGTGACGCCATCATCGTCCGCTGGTTCTCCGTGTGCTCTGCAGCCCAGCTGGTTGCTGCCCGTCGAATCAGAGCGTGAGTTGACGTCATCGTCGATGGCGTGATCTTCGCGAAGCTTACTGATTCGTGTCGTTTTCCCCGGCTGATTGGATGAAGAGAGGAGAGGGAGAGAGGGGGGGGGGATAGTGATGTGATCGGGATCTACCTCCTAGTTGGAATGGGCCAATAGAGGTGGTACATGGAGGGGATTTCACGGGGTCGACGGGGAGGAAGTGGGGGTAGGAAGCGATTCATTCCTTCCATCATCACCAGAAGCTCCTCATATCGGATGATCCGGTTGAAGTGGGGGAAGTGATCGCCGTTGCGAGGGAGGGAAGCGAGGTAGTCGCAATAGAAGGAGGAGAGGGTGCGGAAAAGCGCCGCTCGAAAGATCTCGTAGTGGCAGCAGGCGGGGATTGTCCCGTGGCGACACAGTAAACCTCTACCACATTGCATCGCTCCCATGCAGTGCTGCACAAGAGAATATGCCAGCAGAACGTGGGGGCAGCAGGCTGAAGGGATGCGTGGGGGTACACGGTGGCGAGTAGGCGCGTAAAGTAGAAGTCGCGGAAGAGATGGGGAAGGAAGGGATGGGGAAGGAAGGGATTGGGAAGGAAGGGATGGGGAAGGAAGGGATGGGGAGGGAAGGTGACGGGGGTGCGGATTTGCTCGAGGGTGAGGAAATCAAGGGGTCGGCGGGATAGCGTCCGAGGACGAAGGCCTATCGCCCACATCGGTACGTGGGCGAACTGGGGGACGGGTGGGGCTGGAGGAGGAGGAGGATCGGCTCCGTCTCCGTGGCGCGGTACTTGAGGTGGCGGCTGCAGGGTCGCCATCTTCGGGCTTTGGCGGCTTCGGGTCCCTGGTCGGGTCATTACCGATGCGCAGGCTGGCTCCGCTGGCGAACTCCAGCTGTCGGTTCCCGGTGGAAATTTCTTTGCGCCTTCGCGCTGCCTCCGGATCTTCCGTCTCCGTGCCCGTCCTCGCCGCTTCCTCCGGCAAAGCTTCCCACTCGGACCTGGTTCCTTCGTCTTCCTCTTCCTCCTCACTCAGCTTGCCCTCGCTATATTCGCTATAGCTCCCCTCCTCCGATGTTTCCTCGTCTTCGTCCTCTTCGTCGTCGTCATCGATCACCACTTCCTCCGCCCTCGGATAAAAGGCGTGAGGGATGATATCGTACGGCTTCAGATACTCCTGCCGCGACGGCAGCGTATCTTCGTCCATGGGTTCCTCCAAGCACGCAGTCCACTGAAGGTACGAAATCTGTGATCGCTCGAGAATGTATGGAGCAGGACTGTCATCACTTTGCGAGTAGATGTCGGGCGAGAGATCGTCCGCTAATTGCACGATCGGCGCGATGAGCTCCTGCGCAATCAACAAGCGGCGACCCGGCCGTACCGATCCAAAGAGAAAGCCAAGAAGATCTCCTTCCACGTTAGTCCTCCAAGCCTCTATGATCAGCAGCTCCGGATTCTCGATCCACGTGGGATGCTCGCTGGTGCCCGTCCACGTTACCTGTACTCGGGCCAGGCAAAAGGTTAACTCGTCAAAAGTTTCGCGCCACAGCCGCCAATGCCCAGGATTGATAAGAGGAACAAAAAGAGGCTCGAATGAGAGAGAAAGAGAAGGATGAAAATCGGATTGCCAGAAGGTGGGGAAAAGAGAGGGGAGGCCGAAGATAGAGAGAGGAGCGAGGGGATCGGCGTGGTTCATTGGGGACGTTGGAAGGGGATGAGGGTGGGGATCGCAACTGGCCGCTCGCGCGGAGAACGACGGATGTCACCAAGATCCGGCGCAAAGGTCGGGATGAGGTTGTGCCCAGGTCGGGCGAGAACGTGCGCCCAGACGTTGGACACTTGCTCCGTCCACTCACGCAGCGAAGTCAGGATCGTGGTATGCCACTGCGGATTGATCGAGCTGATGTCGCCGCTGAACGCCGCAACCGTGGTGACGTGGCTCGTTCTGGGAGCCGCTCGCCGATGAACTGCGATTACTTCCGCAAATACTACTGCGTGAGGACTTCCTTCGATCCGAAACGCAGCGGCGGCACAGATACCCACGTCGCAGAAAAATTGCGCCAAACGCCGGAGATCCGTATTGAGCCGAGGGTGACAAACTTGCCGAATCTCAGAGATGTGGCCATGTGGCTGCAACAGCTGTGCGTCAAGAACCTGCTCCGTGATGAAACTCATGGTGAGGTTGGAGAGGAGGACGAAGGACAAGAGGGAGACAGCGGAGAGAGAGTTAGATCGTCGTTGTTCTTCTCATTTTCCAAGGAAGAAGAGGGAGGAAGATGAAGGAGGAAGAAGACAGAGGTAGGAGGTATGCCGGACGATGGGGACAACGGTATGGCTGGCACTAGCCTCAGGCGCGATGCGCACCGTGTTGGCGCCGTTAGGTCCGAGCTCGACAACGCGAAAACAGCCAGAAAACTTGGGAGCGAGTTTCCGGTCGCGTGCACATTTACGTACCTGCACTAGGTCCCCTAATTTATATTGGTGCTGGGGCCCAGCATTTCCATTCCGAGCCTCGTAGCTATGGACCTGTCTACCGTGGGCCAGTTCGGTCATCCTTTGCCTTTTTCGGGCTAGCTTCGGGACGGCCCGTTCCATTAATTCGGTATACCTTTTGGCCTTGGCTTTGAGAGCTGCACGCGTGTCTCTACCCCTTGCTTCGGCAATTTCCGAGTTACCTCGGTAGTCGACACAAGGGAGGCTATTGGTTCGAAGCTGAAAAGGGGTAAACCTCGTGGACTCATGAGGGGTGGCCCGGTGGATCCCGATGATCTGATATACGATCTCGGGCCAAGGACGCGTGTCGTGTGCCGCTAAATCCCTGCGAAGGGCGGTTTTAATCATACGGTTGGCATTCTCGGCCAACCCGTTCGACTGGGACACGTGGGGTGCCGTATGTCGGAGCGTGACGCCCCTTCGCCTAAGCAGTTCTTCTACCTCACCTTTGAATTCAGACCCATTGTCGGTTAGAATTTCTTCCGTATCTAGATGGGTATAGAGGAGCTGTTCGATGTACGTGGCTATTTCTGCGGCTTTTCGGGTCTTACACGGATAGACTTCGATGTACTTGGAAAAATGGTAAATTAATACTAACAGGATAGAATATTCACAGCGGTTTGGGCCAGGTGGCACGTCGATATCTGTCGTGTCCATACTGACTCGTTGGACAGGATGCTCTACTTCCGTTGGTACTATCGTGTTTGGTCCCTGTATAGGGGCGCGATCAGCGGCACAGACCAGACAGTTAGCGACAATGTATTTGACATCATCTTGTATATTAGACCAAAACCATCGGTTCTGGTCTACAGTTGCCTCCGTGACACGTATCGCGAAATGAGCGGCCTGTTCTTCGCGAGCAGATCGGATCCAATCGTATCTCTGGAATGGATGGGGAACCGTCAACCACGAACCTGATCCGTCAGTTTTACGCTTTTCCAAATGACCGTTGATCCATTGATAGTCCCGAGATCTCTCGGTCGCCCTACGTCTGTCATGTTTGGTGAGGTGGCCCAATGATAATCCCGCTAATTTCGCATATAAAATTTTATCCGTCCAAACCTCCGCTCGTCGGTATTTTTCGTCGTATTTAGGACCGTCTGTACGGGCGGCCTCAAATCGAACCTCCATGGGGAGTTTGTTCGTTCTACACAGGGGGCACCTCCATTGCTTGCTACTCGTCCGATATCGAACACAGGCCCCGTGCGCACGATTGACACACGTGGCACATTCTACCCAATCGACAAACCCGGTCTCGAAAGGATGAGAGTCGATCCCATAAACCCGTGCAATACACGTGCAAAAATAACAGAATTTATCAGAGAGGGTGGCGAAGAAAGCTGAGGAAGTAAGAGGGGCAAAATTAGTAGGAGAAGAAGGGGTTGCAGAGGGAGGCGGGGTAGTCATGATAACAGAGGAGGAGAGATAAGACTGAATTGTGGAGAGAATTAGTCCTTGTGTCACTTACTGCTTCGACAGGATCTCCACTTGGCCGTACAGAGGTCCAATTTCCTGTTCGGGTTCGTTCCACGGAATCACCTCCTTTCTCAGGCCGGTGCAGTCGGGTCAGCCCGTCCGCATTCCCGTGTCTCTCGTGCTTCTGATGACGGATGTCAAAGTCCATGCTCTATAGCACCGTTGCCCATCGCCCAATCATGCCAGAGTAATCCTTCGATTTCTTCAGAGCCAACAGGGGCTCATGATCAGTTACCAGGGTGAACTTCCGCCCGTACAGGTAAGCACGAAAGTGACTGATTCCCCAAAGAGCCGCGTAGCATTCTCCCATTGGAGCAGCGTAGTTGCGCTTGCAGGCGGGCACTGATTTGGACGCATACTCTACCACGCTCTCGAGTCCGCTGGGTCCCACTTGGGCAAGGATCGCCGAAATTGCCTCGGGCTGCCAGTCTGTGATGATAACAAAAGGCTTTTCGGGATCCGGTCTTGTAAGGACTGGAGCCGAAATGAGAGCGGCCTTGAGTTTTGAAAACGCTTGGTCGCACTCCGGCGTCCAGATCAACGACTGATCCTTGCGCAGCAGATTTGTGAGGGGTCCTGCAATCGCTGCGAAGCCCTTGATAAATCTTCGGTAGTACGAGGCTAGGCCCAGAAAGGCGCGAACTTGCGTGATAGTCGTAGGCACCGGTGCATCCCTGACAGCTGCCACCTTCTGCGGCTCCGGTTCGAGTCCCTTGTCTGTCACCACGTGTCCTAGGAAGGAAATGGTGGTCAGGAAAAACTGACACTTCTCAAGCGCCACCTTGAAGCCCGCATCTCGTAAGGCATGCAGTACCCATTCGACGTGCTGTACATGTCCCTCGTAGGAACTCGAATACCCCAAGATGTCATCCATGTACACAATTACGTAGTAGTTGATGATGCTCTGCGCCAAACGAGTCTTCCGCACGAAATTATGAAAAGCCATGTTCATAACTCGCTGAAAGGTCGCGGGGGCGTTGCAGATACCCATCGGACATCGAATCCACTGCCACGTACCCTCGAAAAGCACAAATGCTGTTTTCGGACGATCTTCTTCTCGAACAAGAAGATGATGGAACCCATGGCGAACATTTACTTGCTAAAGAATCGGGCACTCCCAATCACATCCAACAACTCATCAATCCGGGGGAGAGGGTACACATCTTTAATCGTGATATCATTCAATTTCTGATAATCAATACAAATACGAATCCCTCCGGCCTTTTTAGGCACGATCACTACAGGGAAAGACCATGGACCTATAGCGGGTTCGATCCATCTATTAGCTTCGAACTCCTTATTCCGCTGAAAAGCGGCCGCTCTTTGAGCTGGCGAGTATCGGTAGGGAACGCAGCTAATGGGCGGATGATCTCCCGTGAGGATGGCATGCTCAATTACATTAGTTAAGCCGAGATCATTATCATGCACGCTCAGCACTTCTTCGTAACCATTTAACACACAGATTAACGACTCTTGAAGTTCCGCGGGAACGTGACTCAGGAGGGTGATTATTGATTCCTAGGACATCTTAAGGGGCATATCGACCCAATCAACCAGCCGTTCCCGCCGATCACCGACACAAGAGAAAACGGAACTACTGGTGCGAACAGAGAAGACAGTTGCTATCATTTGGGACTCAGCGGGGCTGATCATCTCCATTTCTTTAGTTTCAGCGTCAGTCTCTAAACCAACCGAGGTCGGTTCCACAGTTAGCCCCGTTAGATCCGTCATCTCTTGCATGAGATTAGGTACATCACTTATTGGTGCTTCCGCCTCTTGTTTAATCAAGGCGATGGTGACTCCTGTCGTTAGTAATGATCTGGGCGGAAAAACAGAAACATCCAAATACTGTTCCTTTTGCTGATAACGTGTTCGTAAGGAGAGAGCTCCCTCGTACAAGGTGCGAGGGGGTTCCAAATCATCAGCCAGGTCGGACACTTGTAATATGGGTTCCCCAAGGAGAACTGAAGGACTGACCTGGGTTGTCAGAGGCGTGAACACGCTGTCTTCGGAATCCACGTGGAAGCTTCGGGTGGTGTCGGGGCACACTTGAAATTCTTCGGGGGTTTCACGTTTGAAAAGTTCGACCAGGTGCTTCCATTCTTCTTCGTTGGGCATCTCTTCTTCGTATTCCTGTTCCCTGATTCCATCACCGATGTACGAGGGAGAGCACTCCTCGGTATCAATGCATCGAATCATCCCTCTTTGGGCCGAGTTAGGGGTCCGTTTTATCGTTCGGGTGGAAATTCGCAAAGGAACAATTTGAGGCTTTCCCCCAGTTTGCGGGAGCACCAGTTGTTTTGAATCGAAATGGAGTCGTGCACCCACCGCCATCGCCCAAGGCAATCCTAATAGTACAGAATAGGAGCGCATATCTATCACGAGCTCGTTGACGAGGACGTGTACGCATCCAACCTTTACAGCCACATTCTCAATAATGCCTACGATATTCATGGTTTCCCCGTTGGCAGAGACATAATTGGCTTTGCCAGATTGAGGAAGAATGGATCCGAGTCGTCCCGTCTTTCTGACAGTGTCTAATGATATGGCTACTGCAGCAGACCCTGTGTCGATAAGGGCGTTAAACGGCTTGCCCCAAATCTCGCAATCACACTCCGCGCTTTTCCATAGTACCGGCCGAGCTCGTACGAAGTGATATTTTTCTACTAAAGAGATCGCTGCTATTCGTGCGGCCTCAGGTTTGCCGGCTTTGGGTTCGGGCTGTGCAGCTTCCTCGCTTCCTTCCTTCTTCTTCAACATCCATTGTATGCGCAGATAGGTGAAGCGCTTTTGATTTTTCTGACAATGTTGTAAAAGTTTATTCAGATGTGGTGAGCAGATGTCCCACCGGGATCGGAACTCGAATATCCAGTTGTTTGAGCGCTCGTAGCACATCAATCTCTCCTGTTCGAAACAGCCGACCAAGATTGGATTCGCGATCGACCCATTCGAGATCATCAGGGGCCGATCAGATCGCTCCGACCATGCCTGCAAGATGAAGATATTCGAGTGGATCGACCACGTCCGCAGCGTCAGAGGAAGAAACTCTTGATGTCGACGCCATTGTCGTCGAAGGGGAAGACTGCTTTGGGGCATATGCCACGAGCTCTCCTCCCTGGGCCGTATCCATCAAAGCGGCCACTCGTCCTTGATTCAGGGCCACGGGAGTTGCCGCAAGTGGGGGCTGACTACGCTTTGGCTGCGGGCAGTCTCGGGCGAAATGTCCGGGCTGTTTGCAGTTAAAACACTCGATCTTTCCTGCTGGATTGGCTAGGTGAGGGAACTGAGGTGCGTACCCTGGAGCAGGCGGGGCAGGTAAGAGCGGAAATGATACGGGGGCCGGCCGAGCAGGGGCCGGGTTAGGCTCGATCAGCCTTCTCATTATCTGTTCCATCCGTTCCATGTGAGCGGCCTGCATTTGGATCAAGTTGCTCATCTATTCGGACTGCTTGGTAGTGGCCGTATGGATCATCTGGGCAAGGTGTAAGTTGGTTATGACCGGCGAGGGGGGTTCGGGTGAGATTCCGCTTTTAACGGCTGCGATCGATTGATTCACCGGGGGAGTGGAAGAAGAAGCAGGCGGGATATCGAAAACGATCCCGCCGGGAAGGTCATGGTCGGGGCGGGGATAAAACCGTTCGACCGCCTGCAGCCATGATCACCTTTTAGCCGTTACATCCTGTATGATATCTGTAATGTCTTCGTCTCCCTGGCTGATATATTTTTTTGTATCAGCCAAGTCCAGTTCCAATGCTTTAGCGATGATAGCCGATAACTGGTGTGTTTTCGGCGGGACCTTTTTCTGCAGTTTGCCTTTCAATGTCGGACTTCGTAGATGATTGATGAACAATTCTCGAGCGGATTTCTCGTCCCGCCCGAATTCGTCCAGCGTGGTTTGAAATTGATCGACGAAATCGGGCAACAATTCCCCTGGTCCTTGTGGCCGATTTTTCAGTACGTACCAGGCGGCATCTTCACTGACCGTATCGAATTGAGCCAAGAAGGCTTGCTTGAAAGTATCCCAATCTACCCACGTATATTTTCTAAACCTGTCATGCGACGTATTGCGGAGTAGCAATGTTAGAATGCGGGGAAAATCGGTTGCGCTGTAGTTTTGAGCTTCGACAGCTTCCAACCAAGCCTCGGGATGGGTATGGTTAGGGAAGAAAGGGAAGGAGGCGGGGATGCTAACGATCACCCTAGTACCGTCCACCATTGGTGCTCCGGGTGCGGCTGCACCGGACCGAGACCTGATCACTGCGTGATCCCGACGAGCTAGTAGGGCCTCTCCTTCCTCTCGCCAGTTCGACTTACTATCATCAGAACCGATACGTGTCGGCTCCGATACCAACCTCACGCCCTGTGCTGTCTTTCGTTCGAAGTGTTAATCGTGCGGAAAGAGACCCAGAAAAACAGCAAGATGGGGTGTGCCAAGGATTTTTGCAAATTGAGTGTGGGGACACAGATGGAACTGAAATCCCCCGTGTTGGTCCGATGAGGCAAGTCGATTGCTTTCGCGCGTCTCGAAATGCGCGCGCGTGCACGGCGTGAAAAGAGAAAAAATCCAAATTCAATCCAAAAAGTATTGTCGGGCTTCCCACCGTGCTACGGCCCGTCGTTTAGAGCGGAAGGGCTTTGGTACGCTTCGCGTGTCTTGTTTCCGTATCAAATCTCGACGTCGTTCGCTGGTCAGTTCTAAGTCTGACGTGGATGGTCTCAGCCACGTGGCTCTTTCTTTATGCTCGTCTTCACTCCATATTCGGTAGTGGAAACCCTTGGCTTCGTAGCGATTGAAGCGTTGGCACTCCGTGCATAGGGTTCGAGGCCAATGGGGTGCCACTGCCGTCCTTGGAATGACGATCAGCTCGTTAAATGGCAACAATATCGAGCAGGGTGGAAAGTGTGTATCGATAATGACAAACCCCGCTTCTACGAACCCTGAACAACGGTTGGCCGGAGGGAAGTAATATTGCCCGCCGATTTGTGCGACGGCTTCTCGTACGTCCCACTCGCATACACGTGTCCTTTCCTCGCTGTAGGGAAAAGGTCGTGTTGAGGTGGGAGATACGGGAGGGTGGCGCCCGATCGAAGGGTGCTTGTCAGTCCACATATCAATCAAACGCAAATATCTTGAGACGTCATCAAGAACAGAAAACCCTCACACAACCCCCAATCAATCCTTTTTGACACAGGAGAGAGAGAGGAGAGAAAAAAAGCACGCGTCGGCTTGATTATGCATATGGCTAAGGGACCGATC